TGGCAGGAGTGAGAAGTCTCTGTTAGAACAACAGTTTGGATGACTTTATATAAAGAGTGGAAAAGAAAATTACATGCTTCTCCCACATATCAATGGACATGTTTCCCAGGGAGTGTTTCAGCCTGAAACCTTAAACAGGAGCATGGTCTCAGCACGCCGCAGGCAGCCACAGCAGGCCTCACATTAGCTGCCTTCAGCTTTTGTGGGGACAACACAGAATTGAGACTGCCAAGAGTAGCAGAAGCCTCTACCTTGTGGGAAGAATCTAGTCTTGCAGCAGAAAAAAAAAAAAGACACCAACTCTTAAAGTATTTTCCACTAAAGCATCAACAATATGTTCAACAGTCAACACCACGCTCTCCCTTTCTATTAGAATAACATTGTAAACAGTCATATCCCTTATGTCAGACACTGTTCTCATTGGTTGACATATATTAATGCATGCATTCAATTTAATGTTTATAAATTTTAATATATTTCCATTTTACAAGTGTGAAACATGGGACCCAGAGACATTAATTAACTTCCCCAAAGTCAGAATCCAAAGTATGATGAGACCTGGATTTGAACACAGCTGTATGATACGCTAGGTGCCTACCCATAAATACTGTGCCAATATTACTCTCTATCTCCCCACCCCCAATTAATCATCAGAAAAGCCTAGAAAGTGAGAGAACATTCACACTTATAGGGCATAATGAACTAAATCTGTGTTTTCCAAAATGCAAATGTTAAAACTCTATCCCCCAGTGTGAGCATTCTTTGTGAAGAAATTAGATAAGCTATGAAGGTGGCACTCTTCTGAAGTGAATTAGCACCCTTCTATGTTCCCCTAGGAAGCCTGTTACTCCTCTCTCATTCTCCCCAGCCTGTGAGACTACAAGAATTTGGAAGAATGCAAGTCAAAACAGAGCCCTTCCCAGAACAAGCAGCCAGCATCCCGCTCTTGGACTTCCAGCTACCAGAACTGTGCTAAGTAATTTATTTAGTTTATAAGTCACCAAACTGAAGGTACTGTGTCATAGCAGCCCAAATAAAATAGAGCACACAGTATACTGGGGCAACTGTGATGATAATTCAATAAGATAATTTGCAGAAATGTCCCTTATGATACTTCTCTAGGTACAATATTGAATGATTACTTTTGCATGGGTATAGTCCCGTGACTTCTTTGTAATCTTAAACAAGAGTTCCACAACCTCATCCCATTCCCAAAAAGCATACACAATACTTAGTTGATAAATACCATGCATAATTTTAGTAAGTTGTAAATTTAGCCATCAACCTTTTTTTTTTTTTAATTTTTAGTCACTTAAGGCAAACTATTATTGAAAGATACAAAACAATTAAAATCAAGATAGAAAATCCAGCACTCCACTTTTCTAGGAGAGTATGGAAGAATATCACTTAGACGATATTGCTCTGCAACATTAAAAATCTACTCTTTAGGGCCCTCCCTGGTGGCACAGCAGGTTAAAGCACTGCACTAAGAAGCTTAAGCCACTTCCACATGAGTTCGATCCCCGCCTGCCCCAGAGGAGATCCACATGGCGTGGCAGACCTCTCCTGACCCACCCGCTGCTCCCCTCAGCAGTGTACTTTGTCTCTCTGCCTGTTCTGCTCCCCGCTCTGTCTCTGGTGAATCCTCTCACCCTCCGCATCTCTGGCCTGTACCCCAGTTCTGTATGAATAAATAAATAAATCTTAAAAAAAAAATCTACTCTTTAAACACTGCTGATAAACTGATCACATGCACTCAACAGAATGGGAAACAATAATTTCTCAGCTTTCAGAATTAGTTATAATTATGCTTTGACAATGACAATCTATTACAGATTCATTCTACTCATTCTGTTCCTAAAGATACAAGAAACTTTTCAGAGGATTAAGTCCAACACTCTCACATAGTATTGGTTGTTTAAAAAAGAGTAGTATGCCTAATTATAATGGTATTGGCATTATTGTTTAATTCAAAGTTAGTTGTCTCCTCATAAAATCTATTTTAATAATGTTCTGACACTCTGCATATCTCTTCACTACCAATTTATTAAAGCTCTTTAATATTTGCCTCAGTAAGTTACAACTTCTACACTTATGATATTTGGTTTACCACTGTTTTATGCATTCCACAATTGATTATTAAATAATGCATACTTATGATATATTTACATGTAATCTCATACTCCCTAGCCAACAGAATAAAAGCAGTAACCTGTGTTTAAAACTTTAGTATTAGGCCCTCCCTGGTGGCGCAGCGGGTTAAAGCGCAGCACTGAGAATCTGAAGCCACTTCCGCATGAGTTCGATTCCCGCCTGCCGCCTGCCCCGGAGGAGACCACATGGCGAGCCAGACCTCTCCTGGCCCGCCCGCTGCTCCCCTCAGCAGTGTACTTCGTCCATCTGCCTGTTCTGCTCCCCACTCTGTCTCTGGTGAAGCCTCTCACCGCCCCTGAGCCTCTGGCCTGTACCCCAGTTCTGTATGAATAAATAAATAAATCTTTAAAAAAAAAAAAAAAAACTTTAGTATTAAATTGTTTACCAGTTCAAATATAATTTGAATTTATGAGCAACAGTCATTAAAATGATATGTTAATTAATATGGCAATAATCTAAGTATTATTTAGATTATTTTTTCTTTAGATACTTAATTAGATTAATACTTTCACAGATGTTTTATTGTTTGTACCAAAACATTGGGAAATCTATTTTGTAATCAAGCTAAATTCAATACAACCTAAATCAAATTCACTGTTTATTTGGGGAATTATGTTACCAAAATACCCTATATTCCAAATGGAATCTTTGAAGCTAAATTTTAGCTCTCACTCTCATTCTGTCTTTAATCTCTCAATGCTCATATTTTATTACATTATTTCCTAAGTTTTCCTGTTAGTTTGAATACTATATTTGAATTTCCAATTACCTGCGTTCTTTCATTATCCCCATCATTTCATCTACACCAAGAGCCACGACCTGATTCATTTCTTCCCTTTACATTATACTACTTTCAGAGTTGCAAAATTAAAATGTTTGAAGTATAACATTGTTTATGTTGCTATACACTTAAAATACTACCATTATTATACATTAATTCTAGTTTAACTTATAAATTTTAATTTCACCTCAATTTACATTTTATATTCTTAACTCCACTCACTTCCTTTTTCTGCAGTGTGTTTAAATATGACTTATCTCCTTTCCTCATACACATGCTAAGTTCCCTTTTTTTATCTATATTCAGTGTCTATTCACCTTAAGCCTATTTTTCAAGATTCACTTTAAATCCTATTTTTTTTCCCCAAAAAAGTTCTCCTTCTTCATCTCCATCAGCACACAGGACTCCTATTACTATAGACTAACTTTACTTGTAGAATTAAGAATAGTCTGTTTAAAGAATCATTTATCCATTAGTTTCTAGCCTTTGTTAAACTATAAACTTCTTGAAGGGAAGGCTTCTATTTGTTCACACCAGGAGTGTCATCAGAATAAAAAAAAAGATACTCAGAAATATTTACTTAATTATTGCATATAATACAACAGCAAAACATACAGAAGCTGCAAAACATAGGTAAATCATTTTTTCTTCAATTTTGAAATTATTAAATATAAAATATAAATAAGAATTCACACTGCATTCACTTTTCTTCATGTGATAAGTGGATAAATTACATTTTCAGTAACTCAAAACAATTTTGAGTGTGAAGACATTTTGATATCAAGAATTTGACCCCTTCACATTGACTAAAAAAATGCACCTACTGTCATGGATTTCCGACTTCCTCACAAATACCCATGAGCACTTACACTGTTACCCAGAAAATCTCAGCCCTTCAGTTAGGGAGATACTAGAAAACCAATGAAATGCACATTGTTCAGATAATACATGTATAGTAATAATCCTAACTTAAACAGGTAATGTATAAATATGACTGTTATTAGTCACTATTATTATCATATCTATTTATTATTCCAAATTTCCCTTCTGTATTTAATCTCTTCTCTGCCTCTCCTTCATAACATTCAACCTTATCTCCTGTGGGCCACACCTCCTGTCTGTGTTAAGTATCAACAGCTGCACTGTAGCCTCACTTTTATGTGCTACTGGCTTATTTTTTATTTCCAGTTCTTAACATTTTGTTCTCCCAGTCACCATGTTATTCTCTCCACTCTCTGCAATCCTGTTACATTCTCTACATATTATTTTTTCTCTACTTGTCATCTGAACCTCTTGGGGCCTCCTATTTATGAGGTGCTTCCTTTTCTTAATTTAATCCCTTGACCCAGTTGCTATTCTTATATTTGTAACTCATTTTGTGAGTTAATATACCACACATGGGTCCTCCCTGATGGTGCAATGGGTTGGGACGCAGTACTGCAAGCTAGACTCAGACACTTCAATGGGAGTTCGATCTCCCACACCGGAGTTGATCCACATGGCATAGCAGACCTCTCTTGTCTCACCTACTGCTCCCCTCAGCAGTGTACTTCATGGGTCTGCCTATTCTGCTCCCCACTCTATCTCTGGTCAATCCTCTCACAGCCACTGTACCTCTGGCCTGTACCCCAGTTCTGTATTTATAAATAAATTAATCTTTTTTTAAAATACCACACACATTCCTGAAATTGCATCGTAAAATACAAATTTCTTGTAAACAAAAGCCTACTATGTATGTATAGAGAAATCTAATATTTTGCATTGCCTATTACAAAATGAATTACCACAGTCTCTCTTTTGTGTAAGAATTCTCAGTAATGAGGTTTCTTTAAGGTCCTATCTTTACAACCTCTAGCTCCAGCTACAGTGTATATAAAACTCTCACTTATGTCTATCTGTTCCTTTTCCTTAGGTCAAAAGATTCAAGCTGACCTATGTAGGAACAGAAGACACACCCACACCTACCCCAGTGCTGAACAAGATGCATTATCTGCCCTTATAAATAAATGATATCTAGTTTTGCATAAACGTTAAATAAAATCAATTTATCAACCTGAATACTTACACTCAGCATATTTTTGTAGTTGGGAAAATTCTGAGGGGCTGAGGTGTGCCCACTTTTCCTGGTTTGTCATCGTGGTGGTGGAGTTCTCTCACATACCAGGTGAAGAATTCTTTGTTTGGGTGTTTGTCAGAATTCTGTACTTTAGAGTTTCCACACAGCGTATTTCATGATAAAATAACTCAAGCTTTCAAAGTATGCAAATTGTCAACATCAAACCACTGTGGATGTGAATGTGTAGTTTCTTTCAATAGCAAATTAAAGCACTGTAAAAAGAAAAAAAAATCAAAAGATTAACATCATTGCACAAAGGAAAAACTGACAAGTTTACAAAATGAAGAATTTTAATTTTCTAAATAATGAATTTCTGTTATTATAATTTTGCACAATTCTTGACTTTAATTGCTCATTCACTCTTTAATAATATTTTAATATACATTCCCTAATGCCAAGTCATATAATTATAATAAATGTAATAGAAAATACAAAATGTAAAGAACATTTTATAAGGTCTCACTTCATACAAGATTTTCTGTCAGTTTTATAAATTGTACATTCCAAAAAAAAAATGGCATCATTTTTATTCAGCTGAATTCATCAAGTCTTAATATTTAAGCAAAAATTTTAAAACTCTAGACTGAAATAATGAAAGGAGGTTAAATAAACTCTAATTTCCTGCACATATAATCTGCTAGTGTACAGATTTCCAATAATGGTTTGAAATGACTCTCAGTGAAAGCATGTATATTAGCAATCATGCAAATAAACTTTGGAGTGCATATAAATTGCTTTTTTCTAGCAATAAGAAAAATAACTTTAATTTTACAAATTATAAAAATCCCAATAAAATTTACCAAATTAAAGCAATTCCAAATGTCAACAGACTTGCATAATGATAGTAGATAACATTATTGTGAATCATGCTTAAAAATAAATTCCTAGGTTATCATGGACAAGCAGTCACAGTTATATTTATAAAAGCAAACAAAATGAAAAACCATCTGGTTTCAACTTTTTATCAGAGAAAACTGCACAGTAATCAATTGGACTCTGACTATAACTGCTATAGAAAATAAAATATCAAGAAACAATTATAAAAAGAAAATAGCTATATGACTGGAAGGTTTAGTTATACAGATATCATTAGCTAAAGTCATGATGCCTAGATTGGGTTTTAATGCCTCACTTTCCCCAGCATTTTTTTATTGTTTTCCACCATTAACATGAAGACTTCTCTGCCATTCCCTGTCCTCTTTGCTACAAGAAATTATCTTAAGGAGGCCCTCCCTGGTGGTACAATGGGTTAAAGCACAGTACTATGATGCTGTCACAGCCACTGAAGCACAAGTTCAGTCCCCAGCCAGGGAGATGACCCAATGGGACAGCAGACCTCTCCTGTCTTGCCCACTGCTCCTCTCAGCACTGCTCTTTGTGAATCTGCCTGTTTTGCTCCCCACTCTGTCTCTGTTGAATCCTCTCACCCCCCACACACCTCTAGCCTATACCCCAGTACTGTATGCATAAATAAATAAATCTTTAAAAAAATAAAACAAAAAGAAACTATCTTAGTATCATCTATTCCAAGTTCCTGCACTCAGTTTTACAAGATAATACTTTCCTATTGCATTGGGAAAAAAATGAAGATACCGATGTAACAACAGTGTCCATGGTGTTGGTCTGTTATTACAATCACAACTTCATGAAAGCTATGTAATCTAAAAAGAAAGGGAACATTTGGGCCCTCCCTGGTGGTGCGGCGGGTTAAAGCACTGCACTAAGAAGCTTAAGCCACCTCCGCATGAGTTTGATCCCGCCTACCCCGGAGGAGATCCACATGGGTGACAGACCTCTCCTGACCCAGCTGCTGCTCCCCTCAGCAGTGTACTTCGTCGATTTGCCTGTTCTGCTCCCCACTCTGTCCCTGGTGAATCCTCTCACCCTCCGCACCTCTGGCCTGTACCCCAGTTCTGTATGAATACACAAATAAATTTAAAAAAAAAAGATAGGGAACATTCATATAAAAAGATGGATATTCCCTTGTGTCTTCCACTAGTTCTTTCCAGATGATTTCATCCTTCACATTGATTTCATCCTAGTTACTTGCTTCTCTCTAGTTGCATGTGGTTTTGTGGGACTATAAAACAAGGTGTCCTGTTCTCTTTTATCCAAAATGAGGTGGATGATTCAGTCACATTTGGCATATTAGGCTTTGCCTTCTGGGGCTTTAAACGTTGAGTGGAATGATTCAAGGACAGGATGAAAATAGCTGTACCTAAATAATTACAACCATAATTGGATACCTGTTCCTATCTGAGCCCAACTCTTCAGCTATCTGATCATCTTCAGAAACAACTAGTACTCTTTTCATAAAAGATTAAGTGAGCCAGAGTCAGTTTTGATTTCCTATAATCCCAAAAGCTTAACCTTGAATACCAGTAGTTAATCAATTCACTCAAAAAGTGTTGACTGAGCCCCCCTGTATGCCAGACAGTATCCAACACATTTGGAATATCACAAAGGCCAAAACACACAAAAGATGAAAATAATGCTAATTTCAACAATGTTCCAATTTTATTTATTGATTACAGTATGACAGACAATTTTCCAACAATATTTGTGTTCGATCATGCATCTTCTCAAAGCAACTCTGTGGTACATGCTAAAGGTCTCTCATTTGACAGAGGAGAAAACTGGCTCTGAGTGAAGGAAATCTAGTAGACATAAGACTGTTAGAAGCTCATCCAAAATCCATCCCCCGATTCCTTAGTAACAGAACCCTCTTCTTATTGAATAAAAACTCCCCATCAAAACAACTATCTCTCTCAGGTTCTTTATGTGAAGCTATTAATGAGAGTTAAGCAGAAATAGGACAAAGAATACAGGAATTTTACATAAAGAAAGTGCTGGCAAATTACCATTTAACTTTTATTTTCTTCTTTCAGCTTCCTGCTTGTAATATTGTTATGTTGGTTACAGATCCAGAAGTGTCAAATATAATTAAATTTTAGAGTGGAAGTCATGTGCTAAGAATGGTAGAATTCCATAAAGTAGTCCAGAAGTAGATAAACAAATGATTATAGAGAAAATGTTTCCTACCACCAATTTGGCAAATTAGAAACACACACACATATTCACCTGTTATGAAATCAGTAAGAGGCCAATTTTTAAAATGATTCAATGTTAAATAAAGATGTTTTTCCTAAATGTAGAAAGGAAAATAAAAGAATTACCCAAAAGTCCAGAAACTTGATTAATATGGGAAAAGATCATTTAAGTCAAGAGGCACAGCTCTTCTTTATACATAAGATGGAAATGATGGCAGGAAGATTTGTTTGTTTGCTCACTGCTATGAAGAATGCTTGATACATAGTAATGGGTCAAAAATATTTCTAGAATGAACACACTCCTACATTTTTCAATAAGGAAAATTGATGTAGAAGATTTAGAAGCTGAGAAAGAGCACAAGGAACATAGTGTCTCTCATTTTCTCTCTCTCTCTTTTCCTAATACATCTGTCCTTTTAAAATGTAAGAGAGAGAGAGAGAAAGGAGTGAGGGGGGAGAGAGAAGGTGGCACAAATACAGTGATTCTAGAATCAATGCAATAGGAACTACAATTAATTTTAGGGGCCAAAACCCTTTCTTTTAAATAAATGGACGTAAATGAAAGTGCACTTAAGATAGAAAGCTTTTACAGTTGGAAAAAAATGTTTTTCTTCACATACATAGTTTGTATTTTCTTTTTTGTTGTTGTTGTCATTAAATATAACTACTGCCATATAAATAAGCATGATTCCCAAAGGATGTCTTAATTGAGTTGCCAGTTCACCAATTTAAAATAACACTGATACATAAACATCAGGTCTATTCTTAAATTATTTTTCATACCTACTAAAACATTACTTAATGATGTTCTTTGATTTACATGATCTTGTCATCTTAGGTCTTCACTTCTGGTGTTAAGAACATGATTTCTGAATTGATTGAATCCAATTTGCACTTGAATAAGACTTTAGAGATGATAGTCTTCTTAAATAACTCAAAGTAAATTATCTTTGGTTCTTGGAGGTTTATTTTTCCATCAAAATGCTTTGAATACAACCTCTTTCTTATCCTCTTCTAGTGGAAGCCTTTGGTTTGTCACATAGGAGATGTGACGTATAAAGAAATAAGAAAAAATTAAGTGGAGGCACAGATGGGAAAAGTTCTCCTAGAAAATCTTTTAACTAGGCTAACAAATCAACAGTCTATGAAAAAAGAATACTAGAAGTGCAGTATTAAATCGAGAGTCACAGCTATTCTTCATGCCTCAGATAGAGATGGGAATGATGTCAGCACTTTCTTATCGTCTTTGTATCTTCTTAATTGTGTAGAAAGAGAACGGCAATATTCAGTCGCATTCCCTGTGGAGCATTCACAGACTTCCGGTTTCCCAGCAAGAGGCTTTCTTTAGGCCCGTACAATGAGTGCCAGGAGGAGTCCACTTTGCTGTCCGTTGGAAAGCAGAATAATTCTGGCATTCTCATTGTGTAGATGGATGTGCCACTTTGCTTAGTTGGTGGTAGGAAATAATTATGTTGGAGAAGCTGGAGAAGACCATTTGGTACATCATACCTGGGCTAAAAACATATTCTGCATATGAAGGAAAACATAAATCTCCTCAAGATGAAGCCACAAGAAATGTTCATATAAATGAAACAATGGTATGGATGCATATTTATTAACCATTTTAAATGCAGATAACTAAATAAGTATTAGCAGTCAGCATGTATGACTATAGTCATTAAAAAGTTACTGCACATTGTATATATACAATTTTAAAGTATTATGATGACTGATATTATTTACTGAGCTTCATTCATAGGTCTAAATAACAAGATAAGCAAGAAATGGATAAAATCACAGACATAAAAAGGGTGTGAGTCAAAATATTAATCATAATTCTAAAATAAAAGTAGGATTAAATTCAATGAGATGTTAATGTTATCATTTGATTTAGAATTATTTCTTCATCTATGAAATGAATGAGATTCAAATGCATGTTAGGTACTGTGCCAAATACTGGTTATGTTGT